CACACACCTTGAGGGTTGGTAAACAGAGCCACACCTCCTCCCTCACTGCCGGCGGTGCCTGCGTGTCCTGCCATCGCTGCCATACCAGCCGGAAGACCCGCACCACCGACGCCCGTAATCACCATGGTTTGACCCATCGTCCCCGCCATTGGTACCAGGTATGGGCTGGGAGCGGTCGCCCACGCCTGCCCGATGTTGGACATCCCCAACGCCACATTCTCCATCGGATCGTCGATCTTCGTTGCCTTGGCAACAGCTTTCTCCAAAGTCTTCGGCTTGGGTTTCTGCTGCACCAAGTTCCTCGTAGTCTTGTCAAGACACCTGTAGAACGGAGCTAGTAGTACTCGCTCGCTCACTCGGTTCTTACCGACCACTTCCCGGAGCACGGCCGCGTAGTCGGCGTACGTCTCTCCAGGCCACATCCTCCTACTGTTGACACGCCATTCAGCGGCCGACTTGTCAAGTCGCTCGCCATATCGTCTCAGAAGTGCCTTCTTCAGGTAAGTCCACCGTCTCTTGCGGTCCTTCAGTCTCCGGTCCATATTAACCCACCACCGTGCCGCGTTCTCGATGAAGTATAGTGCCCGGTCAGTCCACTGCCCTCGTCCCGCCTCCTCAGCTCCCTTAAGGGCCAGGTCGACTCGGTTGACGGGTCTCCATCCGGAGATGCATTTCTGTGTCTGGAAGATGCGACGAAGGGCTTCTTTCACGAGGGTTCATCAGTGTAAATGCGTCGAAGGGAATCTATCACTGGACGTTTTCGAGCAAGAGCGGTTAAGGCTGCTGGTCCCGACGACCTATTCATCTTATATTGCACGAGCCTAGTGACGGTTGACCTATGGTTGCTGCCGAACTCCGCATTTGTTGATGCCACCTGCTGGGAAGCGTACTACGGCCCATTTGCTACTCGTGCACACTTCATCAAGTGTGTTCCGTTTTACCGTGCATCAACACGAGCTCCGAGGTTCAGCTGGAGTTCGTGGAGGGTGTAGGCCCGGCCTACCGTGCCCGAATCGCGAAGAAACGTCCATTTACGAGCTTGGAAGATGCTTTTGTGAAGACCAATATTCCTGTCAAGGTTCTTAGACGATTCGATTTCAACACGGATTCGCGTATGCCCCATCTCGGCCATGGGGTGATACTTCCTTTCGATCAATAGTACCTGTAATTCTGAATTATGAGTCTGTCAAAAATCTGTTGGAGATATTATTTTGGCATTAATGAAGTATCGCTTGGTGCTTCTTGAATTGCATGCGTAGTCCTTACAGCAATCCTTCGTATGTTTGTTTCCACAGTGTGTGCAGGTGTTCATCTCC